GGTCACTTCCAGCAAGCATGTATGTCTGTTCCTCTACATGTACTATTCCCATCATCACCATCTTTTTCCCGAGCCGATGCTCGATTCCACGTGGAGCCAATCATAACTGTGCCTAACCTTTGGTGAGTATAAGAAATTTTGTTTTTTCAGTTTATTTGCCATTATTTCCCCGATTGACTGGTTTGTTTCTTTTTAAAAAGATACTGAAGACTTACACGCAAGCGTATTGAACCGCGAGTTGCCTCCGGTTGCGTGCGCGTACCTGCGTCCTCTGTGGATGTCATAGAACTAGATTCAGAGGAAATGGACATTATAGAACCAAAAAATTCTGATGAGTCTGAATAAATAAAACTCAAAAATTGATCATAAAAATTAACTCCTAATCTTAAACAAGTAAACATTGACACTGACGCACCGACTTCTGAAATTTCGATGGCCTACAGGGTTGGCTACAGCGCCAGGTAGGCGTCTCTGATCTGCCGTGCCAATTAGCTCGCTTATCTGAATATCGCTCGAGACGCAACGTCCTATTGCACCTCGGAAATTTTGGATAATTCCTGTGCCAAAAACTAAATAGCATATTTACTACTTCCATCCTCAGCTTTGGGTTTTCTTACTTGCTTAGCTCGCTGGTAACTCTCGTTAATGAGGTCTTCTTTTTCTCTCGTCGGGAAAGATTCGTTCGCTTCTGCTGCTTTTTTCTGATTTTCCTTTCGAGATGATCTAGAACTGAAAGCAACGGGAGCTACTTCGTGACCATTAATCATTTGTGGTCCGTGTTTACGCGATTAAATCTTGCGTGATGGACTTGGGTGGTGTCGCACGTCTTTACTGTATCGCGTTTGACTGTAAATTATGTCTCTCGCTTCAGCTGCTGCTTTCCGTTGTTCTTGGACGCTTTGATCCGAGTTATTTTCATCGCGTCCTAGTTCATTATCAACTGGAACTGCTTCTGCCATCAGATCATCAATGAGGGTTCCTTCATTTCGCTCTGGTTGCAGTGGAAAGACTGGTTGCGTGTCTGGGTCAGGGGGGTGGTGCGACTATTGGTCCCGGTGGTGACGGTACTGATGGTCCCGGTGGTGGTGGCGGCACGACAACTGGTCCCGGTGGTGGCGGTACGACTACTGGTGCAGGTGCCATTGCGACTGGCGGGCGACCGATCATGACCGACAATCGAAGTGTTGCCTGTTTCCCCGACATTCTCCTGTGGTTAAATATCTTGAAGCAGCTGTGGTAAATAGTCAACGAAGTCCTGGCTCTCTCCAGATTTTGCCCAGCAAAGAATCAGCCAGGAAACTTAGCCGGCTCGATCGGTTCAACAATTTCTGGAGAATGATGCGGTTGGATTGGCCGCAGACGGATTCGATGCACACACTGCGTATAATCCGACTGGTTCCGACATTTCGAACTATGTAGTTTTGCTCACACTTTGCGCAATCTTATGTTCATATTTTCCAGATGTATGATCAAACTACGCATATTTATATTCAGAGTTTGCTCACTCTTATGTTCAGACTATGAAGACTTGTGCTCAGATTTTATACATTTTTGTTCAGACTTGACAGACCTCGGCACATATTCGCTACTCTAATTTCAGAAAAATCAAAGGGGAGCTAGTAAAGAGCCGCACTCTTATTTGCAAATTCGGTTACAAAAAAAAAGATTTGTAATATAAAACTACACTGGCTAGCACGATTGTGTAAGTATAGACCACATGTACAGAAACACTTAAAACATCATTGCACTTACTAGTCCTTAAGTTTTTATTCTAAATTTTTGTCCTAGTATTCGTCTCTGAAGTAGTGCACGTAGTAAATGCTTTCTGCGATCTGGGTGAAAGCATTGAACAGAGCTACCACTTCGTTTCTTGCCAGCTTCGGACACTGACTGATTCCTGGAGCCGAAAAGTAGTCCTTGCCATTAGCCGAGTTGTCGTGTACACCTTGTGATGATTCGTCAGTTGTAGTTCCTAATAGGATTGAACACAGTGATTTGCTTGTATTTGTTTGCCTAGCTTTCAAAAAAACGTCAGGCAGGAAATTATATGTATAAAAAAATCAACTGTATCACTAATGAAGGTTTGCGAACGCTCTAATTTCAGTTTCAAAATTATGAATAACAATTTCAGTAATTATGAACAAAATTTAATTTTTGGCACTGTTGCACTTCAGCTTTGTCAAACTTCCTCTCAAAAATTTACCAGATCAAGATAATTTAACAGTTTAATACAAATTGGATCTTGTTTACATTTCCATCTAATGCAAAAAAGGAAAAGTGTATACATTCGTTTATACTTAACCGTTGGACTACATCCATAAAGGAATGGGCAATTGTTCGCAGGCACCATAATTGGTGCATCGGTAACGAGATTCTAATAATATCGTCTAAACTTAAAATTTTTGGTTGCCTTTAAGGTTGGAAGATTGAAATTCTGGCTAAGTTTACATAACGCTTGCTAGTTTAAAAATGTAAGTTACAGAAATCATACAAATAAAAAATACTATATATACCCGTAGCGTCCTTGCGCTGTTCTGATTGGCCGGCCTCCTCAGTAGGTGATTCCAGGAATAGCACTCTGAGTGCAATGTGCAGTCCGTCTAACTGCAACTTGGCCCACAACCTACACTTGTCACACTCCACACAGTCCAGTATACGGGAGATGTTGTCCAATTTGGCACTGGATCAGAACCAAAAATAAGATCATTTGTGAAACAATTCGATGGAATGCATTTTTATTTTCTCTGGAAATCCTTAATCTTTTATTCTACAAAAATTTTCAAGACCCAAAATTTTTCAAAAAATTGGAGGCGGCTTTAAACTATCCAGTTTTTTTTTCTATTTCTCTTTTAGACAAAAAAAAAGTGTTTATTCCGCACAGGCGCTTCTCTAGTTTTATATCGGAAAAACAGGTAACCAGCATTGGGGAGCCCATTGCCAGGCTATTAATGATGTTACATCTACAATTTCACATAAATCATTTCTCTACTCACCTATATTCTTGTTTGAGCGATAAAAACTCGTGCGATTGAAATAGAGCATGCTCGTCAAAGTGTTTCGGGAAGGAAGACAAATACTGCATGAGCAACTGCAACATCTCGTGAGTCTCTCCGTTACTCTTTGGAGACTCATCCATTTCCATTTGAGTCAAAAGAGGGGCTGATTTGAGAAGTGCTCTCATCTCCACAAGGTACAGCAAGTACATGTTCTTCAGCCTGTATTAGGTCAAATTAACAAATGAAGCAATTCAATCTATGTCGAAATTTCATTCAAGATTATTTATCTCTCTTGAAATCTAAAAATTTGAGGAGCTTATAGCGAAGAAAGATTATCTTTCACATTTTTGTCCTACTGTCGGCTGTTCATCATTAAACAAACAGCGCCTCCTAAATTGAACTGGGTTAGGGTTAGGCTGGGCAAAGCATTTTTTCGATGAGACCACTTGCCTGTGCGGACCCTCTTTGTACGTCAACTGCGGATCAAATATGCGAGCAAATTCAGTTGCATTGGGTCGATAGTCAACTTGGCCAAACATGGATCTCACCGGATATTTGGCTGCTAAATGGACACCCACGCTTGAATGCAAACCGGAGAGCAGTCTATAGAACAGCCGTTTCTCGGCGCATACTTGATTCATCGTCCTGGAAGACATAACATCACACTGATTCAGACTAGGCGGAGAATTAACAGAAGTGGCATCGTTTGAGTTCTGTTTGGGTTCGACTTTGAAGCAATTTTCCTTGTATATGGAACCCCACACGCGGTTCGCACTTGGACCGAAGTAGCCAGTGTTTCTAAACAACCAGTGTGCTAGTTTAAGCTCAGACTCAACGATTCAGTGAAGCGTGCCTTATGCCGTTACTTCGCATTTGAGAGGGTGTATAAGAGAATAGCTGAAGGATGTCTTCTGTTGATTTTATTCATTTGAGAGTTACATACATTTTCTGACCATTATCTGGGCTGATCTATGTTGCCTTAGCTTTGCAAGCAACCACTCAATTAACTAAATACTTCGTATAATAAACCTAAGGTTCTGCATGTATGATTTTAGTTCAGACTGACTTACCCTTCGGGGTTGGAAGTCAAATCAACAATCTCATCGCCTTCACTCCTTCCACTGCCAAATTCATCTCTCAACAACCAAACTGATTTCTTAGCATAACCGTCCACTCTACTATGCGTAACATACTCATGCGAATGATCACAACATTCTTGCTGTTTTTGTTCCAGCAAGTTGTTGGTACAAAATTTCTCATCGACTTTGGCCTCGCTTGTTTGTTCGCTGCTCTTTCCGTTCGATATGGTCTCACTACATTGCTCGTCACTGTCATGGATCTCCCGTTCTTTGCTTTTAGCATTCGAGCCATAGTTGAAGCTAGAGGTGGTTTTAATTGCACATGATTGCAGTTTACAGCGTCCATCCATCTGCCAGAATGGGCAACTGCCTTTCAGATTTACTCGGTAGTACTTGAACTCTTCGCTAAAACAAAAAAAACGATACCTAGTTGTAGCATGCTAAAGTAGTTATAGCAAAAAGACTCGTATTTGTGAGTGTGAAACTTAGACCAGTATTAAATAGTGTTTTCAGAACTGGCTTTTAAGACAACTATTTCTGTGTTTGACCTGTGTCTTAGTTGTTGCAGGAGTGGGTAGATGAGTCTGGCATTGTAGTCCTCAACACTTTCCACGTCACATCCACAGTCCCCTATTTCCCCGCCCACTTCGCAGAGACAACTTGGAGGCTGCGCAAATTTAGGCTGAAACCACCCGTAAAAGATCTCATTTTCCCAGAAAACACACCGCACCCATAGTAAAAAAACCAACCGTTTTCTTAGAACACAAATGTTCACTACGGAATCGTTATTTTCTGAATTAAATGGTCCGTATTTATTCGAATACAGATTGCAGTCTGAAACCAAAATTATAACTTCCAGTTGCCTGGAAAACTGTTTGTCGCCTGAAAAATCTGGAAAGGGCATAGCAAAATAGTTATAATAAAAATAGCTTAATTTAAGACAAAGAATGAATTAGAGATTTACGATAAATTGGAAAAAAAACGAGAAAAAAATTTCTACTTAAAAACCAAGTATGAGATTACAAAAATCGGTATTCGGAACATTTAGTCTGTTGAGCAAGATTACTTAGCTTTTCCTTTATTAAAACTTATTTTTACCTCAGATTGTCGATATCCCCACTGATTATTCTGACCTCGGCTCAGTTGAACGACGAATGAAGATGCAATTAAACAATGCACAAACAGCATTACAGGTGATATTTTGGTTTATTATTATAGAATATATAAGCGATGCACCACATAGAACTGCTTTACAGAATTCCACTAAATGATGATCATTTAAACCTGAAAAAATGGTTATTGAGAAGATGGACTATCACGGCATGAAAAATTTCTGACTTTGTCAAATTTAATGATATCTCTAAAAACTGATATTGCTCGGTTGCAGAATGTATATCACGTCGCTTTTTCTCAAGAAAATTAAGATGTGCTTCTAGATTCGATTATCTAAAAAGTACATTTCAACAAAAGGAGAGATCAGTGATAAATACGGAAATTGACAAGAGTAGCCAGTTTCATCGCAATTAGTATCAAAATTTGAATCCAGAAATCTGTGATGTAAATACTTTTAACACAATCTTTTTTACAATTGGCTCCAAACTTGCAGAAAACTTGAAGACGGAAAAATAAAACTAATGAATTTTTCCCTAAATTAAAGTTTTGCACTCAGCCCTATTCAATCCTCAAAAGTTGTCAAAGCTTTTAAGTCATTGAGCAAAAATTGAAAAATTCACTGGGCATTGAGTCATTGAATAAATCACTGGACATGATGGCATAAGTAACAAATCATTGAAATACTCACGAACGGTAATAGCGGACTCTTAAGCAAATATTTTCAATGAGTGCATTTCTTAAGGGTACTATCCGACCAGTTTCCAATAGCGAAAGTTATCCCCTTAGAAAATATCGAGACTCCAGCAATCGCAGTAATTTTAACCTACCAATTTGTTAAGTACGGTCACCAAAATTTGTTTCAAAAATAGGCAAAAACACATGTTTTCTTTTCTTAACAAATTAAGCACCTTTGTGTTACACAATTCGGTTCCAGCCTAGAAAATCAAGGGTTAATGCTTAAATTTAAGTTACTGAGTTTATCACGCACCTAAAAAAACAAGCGGCTGACGGGAGTTGCTTATTGCATCGACCTCATGAAAACCTTTGCGTTGCTCAGTCGTGACTTGCTTCTGCAAAATATGGAACAATTCGATTTGCGCGGTGTTTTCTTTGATGTAATGAAAAGCTACCTATAAAAATGACATCAGTATGTTTTATCTGAAAAAGGATGTTCCGAAAAGCAAAAAACGAATTCTTGTGTCCCCAGGGTTCGGTTCGAGGACTGCTACTATTTCCATTAATTATCAGAGATAAGCCAAATTGCTTGAAAACCTCAGAAAAAAAACCTTTTGCTGATGAAGCGCAGTCTTTAAGAAAACCAAGCTAACTGGCCAAAAACTTACTGAAAATTTTATTGTCACAAAAAATAGGTTTTCAGAAAATGGAAAAATAATCATTACTTTAATTTTGGACTACTTGGGATACCTAAATCAATACTTTAAATATTCCTCTTTATGTTTTGCACAGAAAAAAATTTTGAGAAAAAATGTCTGAGTTGGTAAATTAATAACATAAATACTTCCAAGTACGTAGGTATAAATCTTGATTCCAAATTATTTCTGATTCAGCAAATTTCAACAATTACAAAAAAGTAATTGAAGCTTAACAATTACAAAAAAGTAATTGAAGCTTAAGTGCTATTTGTAAAAAAAATAGTCTGTGTTAATATCCTTAACATTGGCTGTACTTAATAGCTGGTTATTTATCAAAATGAACACATTTTGTCGCAGCAATATTTGCATCGCAACAAAATTTTCGACTTAGGTTGGAAAAAAAGAGAGTTCATACACTAACACAAGCTTTGCTTGCGTAATGATGAAAGCTAACTCGAGCCTCTAACAATGATAGTCTCATCTAATTCCCAAAATTTTGAAAGGCTGAAAACAAGCGAATTTATAAGATATTATTCAAAATTTTGCAGTAATTATGTCATAAATAACAAGTTTTGTATGAAACCTTTTTTGTATTTGAGTCCAATTTTCTACTTGTCTTCTTGTTTTTTCTTTTGTCTTTCCAGGGTGGTTGTCAATGAGCTGAAATGCTATTTCAAAAGCCCTTCCAGAGAATAAATTACGCAAACTTCTTTATTAACATTGTAACTTTTCTGAATAAATAAACTAAAACTCAACTGAATGTGTGACGAAACAAGGTCTCTCGTCTCAAGCCTTCGGTATTCGGAGCCCGTTGCTGAGCAAATGAACGCTCAAGCTTTTATCTTAAGTCACCCTTCTGCAGTTTTTGGAATCAATTTTTTGGGCGGGTGAAAAGCCTGCGTAGTGTACAATGTTTTAGTCGCTGCATATAAATCTTTGTTAAGAGCGAACCCAATTAGACCCAATTTTAATCAAACTTACTCTTCCTGGTAAAATTTCAAGTCAGTTTTACCGGAACTGGTTATAACCGCCTGATGTGCATGGGTTCTCAAAAAGCGGTTTTCATAGTTAAAAAAAGGGGGTTTCATAGTTTAAAACTGATAACGAAAATTATACTTTAATATCTTTAGTTCTGGTCGAAATTATTGGTCGTCATCAAATGGCAATCTGCGAGAACTCTGAAGCCTAAATTAAATATGCTTAAGAAGTTTAGTTTTTACAAAAATTTCGTATCTTGTAATTGCAGCTCAAACGCGACTGAAAAGGTTTCAATATAATTTATAACTTGATTACGAAAAAGACACAAGTTCTTGATCACGGCAGGGAATTAAAACAAAGCATCTAGAAAGGGATAATCATAGTCTGAACAATCTAAAATAAAGCGGGATGACCACTCGTTTCATACACTCACCTTAGCGTCAGTCTCAACAGCAAAAAAAAACTCAGATTACTTTTTCTTGACACAGAGAATTTGTTCGGAAGTAAATTCTGGAATTACAATTTCGACTAAAAGCGCTCTTATTTGGTATGACACTCGATTAACTGTCAACTTGATAACACACATTATCGTTTGCAAAACAAATAGTAAAAGTATCGACTATTTAGGATTAAACTCAGTAAATAAATCGAAGACTCATGACAGGTTTAAACTTTCAAATAAAATTAGACGAAAACTGATATCTCGTAGTATTACAGCGGTACCGGCAGATGGCAACAAAATATATGAATCATCTTTAATATTAGGAAATTTTCGACGTTTTTTCTCATCAATAGGATCTAACATTGCTAGATCTACACCTCAAGTCAAACTAAATTTAGAAATTCAAAATTTAGCTCAACTAATGTATCTTTTTAATTGCTTTTCTCAAAAGAATTTTAATTTAAAGCCAAGCTTGAAGCCCAAGCAAACTAGTGGAATCGTTGGCACAACTGATATGCTTTAATAAGGAACTGAAACGTAATAGATCTTTATATAACGTTGTATACTGCTGCCTTTTCCAAATGGTCGGAACAATTAATATACACCAGAATTTTCAACTTAGTCTAGATTTTGTATAAAATAAAGATCATTTCAAGAGAAACAGGTTGAGCAATGCAAGTTAATGTTGTTTAATCATCGAAACAAAACTTAAAAAAGTGCAACAAGTCGAATAGTTCTAGAGCAAACACCAATTGAGCCAAAAAAAACTTTTTTACTTCCTCACAAAGAAAAAAATTTAAGACAAACTTCAAAAATTCAATTAATAAACGTAATTTGCTGATAAAACAACGATGATACTCAAAAAAATTTAAAGTACCCCTCGAAACGTTTCTATTTAATTTCTTTTTTGATCATCAAGCGACGCAAAATATGCTTGAAGCCCAAGCAAACTAGTGGAGTCGTAGGCTAGAACAAATTTCCTTTAACAAAGAAGTGCAACGTTATAGTTCTTTTTATTGAAATGAAACAAAACCAAATTCTGAGATTTTTTAAAGAAAACGGAGAAATCAGTCAGTCGCACATTTTAAAAAAAAACCTACAAGATATGCTCAGTGAAAGAATTGCATATATACGAATTGCATATATATGTATGAAATTAGTTTCAAAGCTTTTACGGAAGGACTTTAAAACAGAATTCCTAAAAAACTCAATTATGGACTCGGAGATTCAGATATTGAAACATGGAAGATTTAAAAAAAAATCAAACCAACGAATAATTTCACTGGTAAAAGCCCGAAAAGAATAGGTTTAAGGATAAGAAAACTATTCAATTTCATTCAAAACTTTTTTGATGAAGATTTTTCTGATACAGTCAGCAATCTTAAGGATAGTCAATTAAACACTTTTTTATGATTTTCGCGATTTATACATCACAAATAAAAAAGAAATGATAGATCTTTTTTCTAAAAGAGGGGGTTTGTAGGGTATGGACAACTGATAGTAGTTTACAGTAGAAAGTTCTTAGTACTTCTTAGAAATTGTACTGCTTAATTAGGGCATCACCTGACTAGGCCTATCGGGCCTTTTGATGTCCTTGCATATCAGAATTATGTAAACTGACAAATGTCTGTTGAATAATCTCTGATATGAAAACAATTTATTTATTATTATAACGTTGTATAATATTGCTTTTTTCAAATAGTCCGAACAATAATAAGAAGCAGAATTTGCAACTTAGTCATGATTTAGTATTTGTTAACAAAGAGGCGCGGCTGAGAACTCCGCCTGGTCTGTCTTGTTATTAAGCGAAAAATGCCGGTCCCAAGCCCGGGAAGAGGAGGAGGGTGGACATCCATAAGAACTTCGGTCTGAAAAATGCTCTGTAAGGTGCATCGCTCCAAGCAATTCATGATAGTCAAACAAGCAATGGCCCTCAGTCCGGTGCGCCCCTTAAATGGGGAGGGGTTGCTAAGACTCTCACGGTTTCAACTAATAATATGACTAACACAAATATGTATAAAACAAAAAACCCATTCTAGAAAAGAAGTCATTCCGATTATGCTCGTGGAATGTTAGGACGCTAAAAAGACAATGCCTTGAGACAAGCGAAACTCAAGAAAGAAGAAAGATATCGGTGTGCTGTCTACAAGATTTCAAAGGAAGTGGCACAAGAAGTTTTGGAGATGGCGACCGCAAAATTAAATTTTTCTGGCAAGGAAACTCAGAAGGCACAAATGGTGTTGCCATAGCCATCAATGGTCTACTTATTGAACACGTACTGGAAGTCAGTAGAGTAAATGAACGTGTTCTGCGCCTAAAACGTGCATTAGGGCATACTGCGTGTAATGTTGTATCTGCGTATGCACCACAAGCTGGTAGA